TCTGAGAGGTTTTCTGTTTGTTGCTGTCATTAAGGACTCTCGAATCAACTTGTTGTTTTGGGGTGATCAGAGGCAGAATTGTTTGTGGGACAAAAGATCAGCATTTGCGTGCGCAACTTTTGCGAGAAGCAGATTTAACACTGCATCACTGCCTGGAGATAGGCAGGGCAGCAGAACTTTCTGAAGCAAGAATTAAACCATTAGCAGGCACAGAAGAGACACAGGTGCAGGACACTGGGGTATGCAACCTAGTGAAGGGGCACCCAGGATACAATGCTTGTGTTGTGGGAAAAACATGTAAAGAGTAATAAATAAATTAAAAAACCTAGCATATGTGGACAGCAGGGGTGCAGTGGGAGGGACTGGGGAGGGACTTGGTCCCGGGTGCAATTTTTTTAGGGGGTGTCACCAGGTGCCTTCACAACAAGCTCCTTCATCGGAGTCTGGCTCTGGCACATGAAGGAGCTGTGTCTGGGCTGTGGCGCTCATGCCTGGCTGCAGCTCTGTTCCTTGGTCAGGTCTGACCCGTAGGTGGAGAGCAAGAGAGTCAGCGGCAATGCCGCTGCCCACCCTCCTCAGCTGAGGTGCGCTTTGTGCCCAGCCATGGCAGCTCCACCCCCAGGTCGAGTCTGTTCCAGGGGCAGGGAAAGGACAGTGGGTGGTAACACTGCTGCCCACACTTCTGGCTGTGGAGCTTGCGCCTGGCCACAGCTGTGCTCCCAGGGCAAGTTTGACCGGGGGGGGGGGCGGAGAGCAGGAGGAGAGTTGGTGGCAGCTTCTCTACCCCTCTCCTCACCTGGACTGTGCTGCGTGGAGGGCGACCTCTGCATCCCGTCCTTCTCAGGTGGCGTGGGCATATGCTGTGCCACTGGTGCAAAGCACATGGCAAGCCAAACCATTTCCAAAGCCTGTGCAGGAAGGTGAAGAAACCTCTGAGACAGTAAAAACAGTGCAGGAAGACAGTGATGAGTCTGAATGCTGTCAGGATATCCTAAGATTGACTTTGGGATCACCATATCCAGATGTTCACATAGTAGGAAATACTGGGGGAGGGGACTAATACCTACCGTACTACACTTTTCTTATATGCTGTTGAACAAAAAATGGTTTGCTCTCTGCTGGATTGTGACGCAAGCTGCAATGCGCTGCCAGTGACAATGGTTAATGAAAAGACAGACATTGAACCATGTCACCAGAGTATCCTGAAATCTGTGGGCAAGTGCAGAGTTAAGATTTGCAACAATAAGTTTTATTGCTTAGAATTTGTTATTGTGAACGGAGAGACCATCGATGGGGAGCAAAGCAGTGCAAGCCATGCAACTCATTCAGGTACAACATCAGAATAGAGTATATGTGCCACAGACCAGTGAAGAGAGCAAACCAGCTGCCTGGACAATGGTGAATATATTGCAGATGTTTGGTGGTTTTTTTCAGGGAGCGGGACATCTAGCAGGGAAGTTGAATGTGGATCCATTGAGAACTCCCCAAAGAAGGGTACCAATAGCACTGGCAGAACTGCTGAAGCAGGAACTGACCAGCCTACAAGCTAAAGGCATGGTTGCCGCAGTAAATTAGTACAGCATGGATCAGCATGGATCTTATTTATTTTCTGCAAACCCTCAGGAAGGCTGCATATTTGTATTGATCCTAAACCTTTGAACAGAGCATTAAAATGCAGCCATTACTCACATCCATTGATGGTGTAGAAAGTGACCTACCCCAAGCCAAGGTTTCCTCTGTGTTTGAAGTAAAAAAATGGATTCTGGCATACAGAACTCAGCTCAGACTCAAGCTGTCTTGCCACTTTTGCAACTCCTTTTGGCAGGTATATTTGGCTGTGGATGCTGTGGGCCCTGCCTCTGAAGTATTTCAGCATCGACCGAATCAAAAAGTAGAGAATGTTCCAGGCCTCAAAATCATTGCTTATGACATACTAATTGTGGGAGAAGATGATACTGGAAAGGAAGCAGCAAGAGATTGTGACAAAAAATGAAGCATGTTTTTGGAGAGGTGCAGAGAAAGAAATACAAAACCCAAATAAAGTCAGGTTACAATTAAAGGAAGTGTCATACATTGGCCACCTGTTGACAGCAGAGGGTCTGAAAGTGGACCCAGCAAAAGTAAGAGCAATCCAGGTGTTACCAAGACCTAAGGATGCAAAGATTTTTGGGAATGGCAAACTAGCAGATTAGTGTGAGCCACTCCGATAGCTAACACACAAATAGGTAGAATGGGAATGGTCAGAAAGTCGTTTGAGAAGATAAAGGACGCCATAGCCAGGAGTCCTCTATGAAGGTATTACATTCCAGGGGAGCAGTTAGTGTTACACAATGTGATGCATCTGAAACAGGGCCAAGAGCTGTGCTGCTACAGAAACAGCAGCCAGTTGCATTTGCCAGTAGAGCACTATCAGAAACTGAAAGAGCATATGCACAGATTGGAAGAAAGAACTGTTGGCTGTAGTGTTTGGCATGAAATGCTTCTATCAACTTACATTTGGCCAGAGAGTGCGTGCACAATTGGACCATAAGCCACTGGAAACCATCATGCAGGGGCCATCATTGAGTGCTCCAAACAGACTTCAGCACATGTTGTGAACCACCCTGAGATCTACGGATGAAGGGTGGAATAGAAAGATTATCTCATCATGGTAAACTACTGCTACAACTTTGGGGGGAGAGATCCACTGCCAGATATTATATCTGAGACAATTATAAAGAAACTAAAGTGTCATTTTGCCCACTATGGAATAGCAGATATTATATGCTCTGACAATGGACCACAGTTTCAGAACATTCCAAAAGCAGTGGGAATTTGATCATCAGACATCCTCAGAGCAACAGAACAGCTGAATCAGCTGTCAAAATGGCTCAGAGAATTTTGATCAAAGCCAGAAAAGCAAGGACTGGTGCATATCTAGATATCCTGGACCAGCAGAACACATCTTCATAAGGTTTGGATGGGAGTCCAGCACAGGGAATGATGGGTTGAAGGACAAATGCCTTGTTACCAGTGGGTGTGGCTTACTACAGCCAGAGAGCTCCAATAGATGAGCTGAGCTGATTGCAGAACAGAAATTAAGACAGGCATACTACTGTGACAAGTTAACTAAAGACCTATTCAAACTATATGTGAGCGAGCAAATTTGGATACAGCCAGTGGAGTGACACAATAAGGAGTGGAAGAAAACTGAGGTCAAAAGTCAACTGGACACACACTCGTTTGAGATGGTAACTCAAGAGGACCAAGTTTTGAGAAGGAATCAAAGGCAACTGTGGCACAGCAACCAACCTGTACACTCAGACTAGCAGGACAGACAGAAGAGAGGCGACTTCAGGAGCCAAAAGATGCCAGTACAGTTGTTGGCCCCCTGCCTGTAGAGAATTCCCACCTCCTCTTGCACAAGTAAATGAGAGACAACCCAGCTCACACTCATCTCAATCCTGCTTGGACACCACCTTTTTTGGTTGCCAACTAGAAAGAATTATAACTCCTGAAGTAAAACAGATAACCCCATTGCCTAAAAGACTATGTCTAAATTCAAGGGGGCATATGGACTTTTGAAACTATATAGTTAACTGTAATAATTGTTCACTTAAAGTTATGAAAGGAAAGATGTATCAGTTATATGTGGAACTAAGTAAGAGGGAGAGGAAAGCAGTCAGGGAGAGAAACTTAGAGAGACACAGAGGGAAGGTGCAGGTAAAAGGAACAGCTGCCCAGAAGTGACTCAGCAGAAAAAGGACAAAGAAATCAGGAGGGTCAGAGAGAGTTAGGGTTTATCCACAACTACGTTTTGCTCTGCTCTTTCCAGGCACAGGTCTATTCTTAAAGCTCCATGTCCAAGCTTTCTTGTTGTTTTCTGGCCCACAACTTTCCCCGCAGAAACCATTTTTAAATGGACATTATTATTATTATGGACGGAACAACTAATGAAGCAACTTGAATAGGAATGAAGTCAGGCCCTGTGACCAACATATACACTCCATCTCTGTACTAAAATACCTTCCAGCCAATTGACTTTGAAGCTTCCTGAGCCATTTTAAGTTTCCTATCCATTCTGAGCTACAAAGCGTTTTAGCATCAAGTCCAGAGCTAGCAATCCAGTGCAGTGGGTAGGCAGGTCTAAGCATCCTTTATCTCCAGCAGAGCCACAACAGTGGCAGATAGAAAGGAGGAAACAAGGAGAGGGGAAAGGAAAACAAAACAATAGAAAATAAAAGATAAATAGAGGGATGCCTAGCAGCTCTCTCTTCTGGACACCTCTTTTTATCTCCACACCATGGATGTTCCTCCGTTTCTTAGCAAAGCAGCCTGCTTATCTATGGGTACCAAGGTCACTCACTTCAGCAGAAAGTCAATTTGACCCACAAGCAGGTTTATGTTTTGTTTTTTGTGTTTCTCAGGGCTTGCTCAGAGTCTGAACGCTACACTGCTGCCATCTGTTTTAGTCCATCATGGTTGCTCTGGGACTTGCAGAACCCAGTGATTCCTTGGGCTTGGCAGAGCCAGATTAACAAACCCCACAGAATGCAGAGGGACTTACTTCCTTGCACAGAATTACATTGTTGTTTCAATTGTAGTTTCTTCTTCTTCTTTTTTTTACTAAAGCAGACCCTGTCAAAGAGGCCAGCTTGACAGTTACCTATCCTGAACATCATAACAGGCTAGTGAAAGAATGTGACAGTCGTTCCAGATGACTGGCTTATTCGCACACAAAACTGGTTGTTACCCCACACTTCCTAGTGCAATTGTCCCATCACTTTCCTAACTACAAAAAGTCTGATAAGTGTCAGAAAATTGCACTGGAAAGTGCTAGATCACAGCCACTAGCTGGCAATGTTGCGTCACCTCTGTGCTGCAAACCTATCAGCAGGAATGCTCCCCGACTTGACTGTCACCCTCCACCTCCACTGAAAACCACGACCTTTGTACCTTCTCTGTTAATGAGCTTGTGTTCCTTCCCAGCTGAAAGGTCATTCTCTTTTGTATTCCTCCAGACCAAGGTGTGTGCCTGACGGTTTACCCAGTGCAGCATGAACCTAGGAATCCCTTCAGAGAGAGAGCAACAACAGAGACGGAAATTGAGAGATGAGCCCTTGGAGAAGGATGACAACAGCAGAATAAACATGACCTCAAAGCAAAGGCTGATTCAGCTCACTTATCTGATTACAGTTGTGGAAGTGGCCTGCATGTTCATGCAGTTTGGGATTGTTCCAGTGAGTATATGGAGTATAGATTTTTACTAGCTCCACCCAGTACTTTCTTTTCTAAAGGAAAAATGCTCTAGCAACTTCCTGATCTAACACCAGCTCCCTGATGCAGTATAAGCAAGTGTAAGTGAACGTGATTAAAATCCCCACATCTGTGTGTGTCCTTGTCTCTCAGCCTAGCCTACCTCACAAGGTTGTTGTGAGGGTAAAAGGGATTGGGGAGAGAACCATGTGCACCACCTTAAACACATTGGAGAAAAGGCAGGACATATCAAATGCTTAACTTCAGAATCTACCATAGAAGAGGATTTGTGCAGGAAGAGTGTTTAGTTTGATGATGCTTCCTTGATCTAATTCAGTTGATCTACTGACATAAACTTTGCATTCCAAGACGTGAGAGGGATATTCTAAAATACGTTAGGGTAGACCTGTCGAAATCAATGTAGCTACTTAATTCATTTCAGCAGATTTATTCTTTAGTGTAGCTTAATTGGATAGCACTCATTTATTTATTTTTAATGTTGCCTGAGTGGTGCAACTTCCACACTGTGTTATATAACCAGCAATACCCTCAAAATGTGTGTGAGAATGCCAAGTAGCTAATGGGAACTGGAGATCAAGGAAAGCACTGATGCTTTTCACGAATTACTTGTAATGAACACCCTTAACAGATTCTGCTTGTGGTATCTGCATATCATACAACCTTGGTCTTCAACTGGATCAGGAGCCAATCTAAATGAAGTTGCACCAGAAGTACCACCAGAGAAGAGAAAGGAGGCCATCTATAGTATGGGCATATATTCATTGTGGGTCATGTATTGCTGCAGGCAAGTTGTGATTAAAACTGCCCACCCCCAAAGAGTCTCACAAATACTGCTCCCAGGTGTCCTGTACTGTTTTAGTGCTCTTTGGAGGACAAACTCGTAGGACAACATTATTGCTTGACTCAGCAAAGCTGATGGCTGGAACAGCAGCTTGTGAGACTGAAGACATGATGTGGTTCTGTGCCACAGAGGGCAATTCTGTTAGGTGACAGCATGTTTTGAGCCAGTGAAGGAGGCCAAAGGAGGTCCTCTGCTTTGGGGCTTAAGAGGACATTATTTTGGCTTGAAGCCTTACAAGTCCTGCTCATGCGAATTTAAGAGATTGCACCATGGCCTCACCAACATTTTATGATTTGGTATTAGTTTCCATGTCATTCAGAAATACAGTATAACATACACCTTTCTCTTTGATTTCACCCCCTTTCAGTATCTGGCAACCAGCCTGGGTATGGATGCTGTTGAATTTGGCTACTTGCAAACAGTCTTTGGTGTTCTTCAGCTTCTGGGAGGTCCCATTTTTGGGAGGTAAATATAACAACCATTCTTGGGAACCCTGTGGAATGTCAGGATTGTTTGGAGTTAATAACACCATTTTATTTTTAGCTCAGGGAAATAATTTAAATAGCCATCTGGATTTCCCATACTGGCAGCAAGGGAATGAAAGGCTCTTTTACTACTGCATTGTATACTAACCAACTCTATATCCCCCCCCCCCTTTTAATGTTCTGATTGCCACTGGATATTAGCCAATGCAGGAACTGTTAATAAGCTGTATGCACACAAGTAGCTGCTAATGATAGAAAAGGGAGGGAGGAAGCTGCACAACAAGGCCAGCATTCATTTCCATTTCTTTTGTATTTTTAATTGGATGTTGAATGTGGGTAGGTAAGAAGTCATAGATTTGAATGCTGACAAGATGATTGCAAACCTTGTCTTTCAAAATACATCAATCCGTGGACAAGGATGATATCTGTGATGTCGGATTAGCAGGATTCTCATTTGGAGGCTGGATAGCTCAGCTGGTTAGAGTGTGGTGCTGATAACACCAAGGTTGCAGGTTCGATCTCTGTATGGGGCAGCTGCATATTCCTGCATTGCGGGGGGGGGGGGGGCTGGATGCCTATGGAACTGATAGCTTACCTTGAGTGGATGCTAACTGGCAGAGCTTTTCCTGGAAAATGAGCAATAAGGGTGACCTCCCCAGGGCCTTGGTGCTGGCTCCAGTGGCCCCAGCTAGCAGCCCCACTTCCTGGCTGGACCTGCTGACTTCTGCCTATCGAAAGAGGCTCCACTAGCAGTGCTGCCACTAAAGCATCAGCAAAAGGGGGAAATGGAACCTGGGAAATGGAACCTAAAAAAAAAGGAAACCAGGAGGGATGAGGAGGAGGGGGCACTGCTGCCACCATTGCCGTGAATAGGAGGCAAGGCAGCAGAGGTGGGAGGGAGGGATAGTTGAAGGCAGTGGAGGATCCACACAGTGTGACTTGGCCCAGCCCCACCCAGGCACTCCTCATCAGCCCTATTGAACAGCCAACCTTCCCTAGGATCTGTGTTTACCTTAAAAGGCTGGAAGAACTTCTACAGTTTAGTGGAGGTTTGCTTTTATTGCTGCACACCCTGTTCTGTTTCTGAAGATGCTGCATCTCTTTCTATGCCAGGTTTGCTGACCAGTTTGGAGCCAAGACTGCCTTGGCCATCTCATACGTGGCTGGATCTCTGTTCTTCTTGCTCCTGTCTGTGTCCACCAGTGTCCCTCTGCTCTTTCTGTCCAGGGTCCCCTCTGTCTTCATGCATGGACTACCAGGTGATGTTATTAGATGATGCAAACGTTAGCATGGGTTGACTCCAGGGCTTTGGCTCCCAGAGTCAAACTAAGAAACTGCTGCTCGTGCACATGTGGACGATGTGAGTTAAGTTCCGGTTGATACTGGGAGCAATCTGGAGGGGATGAGAGGAAGTTTTTTGCCTCTCGGGCAGGTTGGCATACGTCTGTGGTAAGAAGCCATTTTACGAAATGGCCATGGACCAATCTTCTTGCAGCATTTCCCTCATGAACTAAAGCACCCACATTGATACAACTTGTCAAGCTATAGATTTGGGGGTGTAACGAATCCATGGTTCATCATGATATTCACCCAAGAACTCTGCCCCTGAAATGCTCATTATCATATTTTTAAAAGGAAGAGCAAAGACTTTAGATGGTACACGATTAACCTGGGTTTCCCCTCCATTTTTTAAATAGGTGCTCAAATGGTGATAACAGATTTGACCACCGCTGACGAACGTGTTGATGCTTTAGGAAAGCTTGGACTATGTTTTGGGGTAGGAATGATCGTTGGAGCTTCCTTGGGTGGCACCTTAACCTCAAAATTTGGGTGAGTGGTCATGTCTTGTTTCAGTTAACCGTAATGTCCTACTTTTAAAGGAATGTATTATTCTCCTTTGCAATGGCCAAAAATTGAGGTTCTGAGGTAATCTCAAGTAGCAGTATGCACAAAGCTGAGAAGGGTCGAAGTCTACAACCCAGAACACAGTTGTGCTGCTTTTAACCCATTGCTCCCTATGCTCATTCATTGGGAATGAGTCCCACTGAAGTCAGTGGAACTTACTTCTGAGTAAGCATGCAATGGCAGGGCTATTATTATCATAGATTTCTGTATATCTCATGACGGTTTTCTACACTACAGATTTAAGGTGTATGTGGTTGGTGCCAATTATAATCCAATACAGTGGTACCTCAGTTTAAGAACAGCCCTGTTCTTAAACTATTTGGTTTACAAACTCCGCAAAACCAGAAGTAGTGTCCCGGTTTGCGAACTTTACCTCAGTCTAAGAATGGAAGCCGAACGGTGGAAGGGCACCGGCAGCGGGAGGCCTCATTAGGGAAAGTGCGCCTCGGTTTAAGAACAGATTTGGTTTAAGAACGGACTTCAGGAACGGATTAAGTTCATAAACCAATGTACCACTGTAGTATGTAAGACAGCTGAGCAAACTTATTTCACTCCAACACACGTTACAACTATGCGCTCTCATCGCAAATATTAATTGAAAAGCAGAATTGAACGTATAATTTTATATTGTTGGACTATGTGTATAATTTATGGCGAAATAATTTTGGTTTGAAATAAGTGTAGACAAAGAGATATTGCTGTATATGGAGAGTCTGGAAATAGAAATTTTGGAATAATTTAAATCAAAGTCCAGAGCAGGCAAAATGGGGCTCATCTGGCTTTAAATCTCTGGTGGCAAAGTGTGAACATATTTGTCCATTAGATGGCACTGTTTCACAGCTATTATTTCCCCCCTTGTTGGTTTTGTGTTCTTTGGCTGTGCATCAATGATGCTTCAGCTATCATCCATCTTATATTTTTTAGGGGGCTGGAAATGGAAAATACCCCACTCTCCTGTTTCTTGAGCATTTAGGTTTGTTTGTGTCTTTAAAAAAAAAAGATGTGTGAAGACTGTGTGTTCCTTCTTGCCTGTGACAGGATGTGCACCTTTCCTTTTAAAAAGGACAAGAGGTTCAAACTGCTACCCTTCCATGTGCGGGTGGCACTGTGGTCTAAACCACTGAGCTTCTTGGGTTTGCTGATCTGAAGGTTGGTGGTTCGAACCCCACGATGGGGTGAGCTCCTGTTGCTCTGTCCCAGCTCCTGCCAACCTAGCAGTTCGAAGCACACCAGTGCAAGTAGATAAATAGGTACTGCTGTGGCAGGAAGGTAGAAGGCATTTCTTTGCTCTCTGGCTTCTGTCATGGTGTTCCATTGTGCCAGAAGCAGTTTAGTCATGCTGGCCACATGACCCGGAAAGCTGTCTATGGACACATGCCGGCTCCCTTGGCCTGAAAAGCGAGATGAGCGCCACAACCTCATATTCGCCTTTGACTGGACTAAACCGTGCAGGGGTCCTTTACCTTACAGCAAGTTACATGGTAGTGGGAAAGAAATAGTGCCCTTTTATAATTATTGGGCTGTCTTTGGTCTTGCTTTTATTATGTATTTTCTTTTATATATATATTGTGGTTTTATATTGTGAACTGCCCTGAGATATACGGGGCTTAGGGCAGTATAACAATTTAATAAATAATAATAGTAATTAATAATAAGAAACAGCACACAGGTTTTCAGTCATTCTGCTTCAAAACAGATCACCCTCCGCTACCCTTCTTGCAGCTGCAATTCCCTCTATGGGGCTTTAAAACATAGGGAGCTGCCTTTGTGAGTCGGGCTGCTGCTTCATCTGGCTCAGCACTGTCTAAACTGACTGGCAGCAGCTCCCCAGGGTGTCAGGCAGGAACTTCTTCCAGCCCTACCTGGAGACATTAGGGATTGAACCTGGGACTTTGTGCATACAAAGCAGGTGTTCTGCCCACTGCGCTGCAACTCTTCTCCCAACCAAATCTGCTAAAAGTCCCCCCTTTCACACAACTTTTAAAGGAGCAAGAAAGAGCCCCAGCTCCCTTTTCATCTGGCCACCCTGAAGAGAGTACATTTACCACTCTCACTGTCAAGAAGCAGCCACAGCTGAGGACCAACCAAAATGCCATTTAGGATGCTTTGCTTTAATGTCCACTAGATGGTGCAAATGTCTTGGGAAGAAGGAGAGGAATAGTACCATCAAGGCTTGTTGTGGGGATTTGTCGGTGGTGGTGGAGAGGAACCCAAAAAGTTCTGGAAGTTTGTGACACACGCGCACAGAATCTGTGGTATTTTACACAGTAATGAGAACAAAAAAGGACACATGTGCAAATGCTGTTACTTTGGCTGTGTTTCATGGAAGAACCATGGTTTTATGCAGTGCTTTTTTCTGGGGGGGATACAGGGGTACACATACCCCTAAACATTTTGTGAATCTTTGTACTTTTGTCCATTTAGTGTATTTGTTTTTCCTGATTTGAACCATAAAATGGTGGTTTTCTTGAGTCAAAATGAGAGTACCGCTGAACATTCTTTTTTAGAAAAAGGAACTGGTTTTATGTAGGGTTGAAAAGAAGAGAGAAAGATGGGCAGAATCAGAGTGGGAGATGCTTCTCACCCCCAAAAAATATATCAAGTGTCCTTTCTGCAGCGAATAGATGACATACAACCACAAGTAAGACAAAGCAAAGCAACACAATAAGAAAAAATGCAGAAACACAATTGGGGCACATTCAGACCATACTTTTAACTAAGGTTGCCATATTTCAAAAAGTAAAAACCAGGACACCCCGAAAGCTTCTTTTTAGACAAACCCCACAATTTTTTGATTGCCTAATACCCAGGACAAAGCACCACCCTTCAAAAATCCCCCCCCCCGAGATAAATGACACCTTTGAAATCCCAGTAATGTCTGGGAAAATCTGGACGTATGGCAGTCCTAATTTAACAGCCATGGCTTCTCCCAAAGAATCTTGGGAGCTGTAGTTGTTTAAGGGCGCTGAGAGATGTTAGCTAAACCACTCTTTCCAGGTCTCCTATTGTTCCCTCTTCACAGGGAACTCTGGGAATTGCAGCTCTGCAAGGGGAACTCCTAACACCTCTCAGCACCCTGAGCAAACTAGAGTTCCCAGGACTCTTTGGGGTAAGTTAAAGTGGGATCACAGTGCTTTGAATATATGGTGTGAATGTGGCCTCAGCCACTGACTGCATAAAAGCAAATTGCCTTGAAAAGGACTTTATGAATGGCATTTGCTGCCTTTAAAAATGGGAGCTTGCGAATAAATCTCATTGTATTGAATGGGGCTTCCTCCCAGGAAGAATGCATAGGATTGCAGCCTTGCTTCGCCAAAGGTAGCTAGCCACATTTGAAGTCCTGCATTTCTTATCTTAAGGGCAGGTCTGCATTGTCTTCTGAACAAGCTCTCTGAGTGCTCCAATGTGCATGTGGAGTTATTTAATGTGCAGACTGTCCCATTTTGTTGTGGGGGGGGGGAGCAGATCCATCCACACACGCAAATGGGGATGGCCTTGCTGTTGGCAGGGCTCTAGCGGAGGAGACTGGAGTTCCTGCGAACGAAACCACGGGATTGGCCAAACTTCGTGCCCTCCTCTTAACACATTCCAAAGTTTTGTTTTAAAAATGGCCCATTTGTGTTAATTGTTGCATAATTTCCTATAAAGTCCCACCAGCTTTCTGTTATGCATTCATGCTTTACTGTCCTGGAATGGTTTTTCTGTTTGTTTGCTGTGATGCCATAGGGAAAGAATGTCCCTCGGGTTTTCTGCCCACTTTGCGTTTTCTTGTCACTATTATTCAAGTGTGTGTGGCATTGACATACTAGTGCTTTAAATGCAGAAGAGGATAATTTTTTTGTTTGGCTCTTGGACCTATGTCCTTGGTCCTTCAGAGGTAGTGAATTTTAGGACAGTCTGCACTGGCAAAACCTGTCCTCTATTTTCTTGAAGCATATTTCCGCCTGCGAAATAAGCTTCCATTTCTCTGCCTCTTTCTGAGGACTCTCTCGAATCCCTTTAGAATATTGGTGGGTGGAGAGTTGAGCTCACTTCGTTGTGGCAAGGTGCCTGCGGGTGGCGTGTGGGTGTTTCTCTTCCCATTTAACGTTTCTCGTGCCACTTCACTTACCAGTACTATGGCACCTGCAAAACATCTCAGTAAATATCCCCTCAGAAATCCACGCTGCACCCCAGGGTGGGTGGCATGCGCACACCATTTTGTATTCCTGTTGCTTTTTCTGCTCTCTTAGATGTGGCAGCCATTTTGTGTTGCGCCACTCCCATATTCATTTTGCACCCTGCCACTCACCCCATGGCAGCCATTTTGTGGCTGACGTTCATGGCACTTGCACTAAATTCTAAATGCTATGAAGCAGGCTAGCGAGGGAGGCTGGCTGCCAAGCACCTGAGAGTGGTGCACTCACTTTTGTCTTAAGAGAAGTCCTTCTTGCTTCCCCCAACCCACACACAGTGCCCAAAATTAGATCAGGTTACAGGTTACATGGTTCAGAAGTGACAGCAGAGGTCTAAGATGCATAGCTAGGCAGAAGCTAAGTCATTGTCCCAACACTTCTTGCGCCTCCTTTTTGAAGGATGGGGCAGGCACAGTAATTTGTGTGGTTGTTTCCCCAAGTCACAGGACTGGGCAACCAAGCAGGCAGTCCTACAAGTAGACTGGGTCTGCAAGGTCTGCTGATGCCAGCACAGCATCCTTGGCAATGGAGGAGAAGTTGACACAGCTAGCTCACTGTTCATTTTAGCCTCAGGTGCCTCCGGTGGTGGAGGCAAGTCAGGCAGCTTTCCCATGGCGGTCAGGGTATCCAATATTACTGAGGCAGACCTCTTCTCTTCCCTAACATCTAGATCATCACCTTCCAAACCTCTGGGCACATCCTCAGCACCCACTTCTGCACTCTCGTTCATTCCTCCTCTGCCTCACCCAT